CTCATATGCAAGGAAGAAGGCCGTTAGGCCAGACTCCAGAATGCATGAATGCGAGTTACACATAAATATGGAAAGAATGGCTGAAAACAGGTTGTGAATGGCTTTAAATGTCAAACAAAGAAGCTTATATTGAAACTTAGAGGTAATAGGGAGCCACTGGAGGTTTCTGAGTCAGACTTGTACTTTAGCAATGTCCCTCTGGCAGCTGTGTAAAGGACAGACTGGGGTTGGGGGGAAGGAGAAGGAAGGGAGGTTTGAGGCACGGAGACCAATTAGTAGTCTCCCGTACTGGTCCAGGTAAAGGTAAGAGCTCGAAATAGAAAGGTGGTCATGTGAGCAGAGGGAGGACAAAGAATGGGAAAGGATGGATAAGATGTTGTAGAGGCAGAACCAAGAAGGCTTGGCAACAGATTCAATAAATGTATGGATTAAAGAAGAGGGAGGAGAGGAGAGTGATTTGGAGGTTGCAAACCAAGGTGACTGAAAAGATGGGAGAACTCTTGGGAGAAATAGGTCTCTTCCAATTCTAAGTTCTAGGAAACTTTTAAGTAACTTTATTGAATAATGAATTGCATAATCTAGGAAAAAATCCTAATTTCAACCAATGTGAGTTTCAAGAATCAACACCTAAAATAATCACACTTTTTTCTCCCTCAGCAATGAATTAGCTTATATCAATAGTTCAACTTTGTTTCCAAAAGTTCACTTTTGCCTAATTAAGATTTGTTAAAAATCAAATCCCTTGATCTTGGGACAAGTTTCCACCTCAGCTTACATTTAATAACTTCTCTCTGTTATTACTAATCTATTTCCAAATCAACTGTGTTACAAATATGTGTCTTGTAGCAGATAAAATTATCAAGTAGATATGTACATAATTCAAGGAAATGTAAAGAGAAAAAAGAGTCTAGGACAGAACTCAGGGAATGTCTATGTTTTAGGATAGGTAAAAGGAGGTGGATGTAGAAAGAATGAATAAAAAAAACCCAACACAATGTGAGCATCTCATTTTAAAAAAAATGTATCTTCCAGATAAATAACTACCAAGAATATGATGCATAATTGTAACAGAAACAAATTAAGGATGCAATAAAATAAATGGGGGGGGGAGAAGGAGACTCCATTCCATTTTTTTTAGAGTTCTTACAGCAATAAGATAGTTAACATACAGGTTTCCAGAAGTATCTAGAAGTGAAATAGCTACTACAGATAAAAGTTTAAAAATTAAAGTATGTTAAAAGTAAAATGTCTAATATTTTTTAAAATAAGCAAGCAAACCTGTTATGTAGCTTGTATGAAAATTCTTTTTATCAAGCTCAATGAGATTTTTGTGTAACTCTTTTCCAATTCCATTTTTAAAAGCCTTTGCAAGTTTTTCAGTTTTTCTAGTTTGTCAAAGAAAAAATATTAATAGCATGTAATATTATTTAACATTTCACGGAAAAACTTCAATAAAATTAACTCTATCTACCCAGTATGTATTAATCTCAACACCTACACCACACTTTTTTTGCACTTTCAGAATTTCCTCTTCTTTAAACTCTCCTTTGATTCAAAATCTAATAAAAACTCTCACATGGCTTTTGATTTACTGTTTATTTTTATTGTTAATCTCAGACCTAAAGACTCTGATGAAAGGAAACAAAAATAACATAACTTTAAAAGCTCACTATAAGTCATATGAAGGAATAGTTAGTTAATAGCCTTAAAATATCTCCAACTGCTAAAAAGAAATTCTAGCATAACACCCCCTTTGTCACTACCACACATAATTTTATTTAGTTCCTATGGCTGTCCCTGAGTCAGGTTTTATTTAATTTTGGAACAATCTTATTCCCCTAAATTGTTGTATTCTCTGCAGAAATAGCTTACCTTCAGAAATTAATTTGAAAAAAACATTCACTATATCAATAGCCAAGAAACCTGGGTTCTACATACTACTTCTGCCACTGATTAACTATGTAATCTTTGGCATTATTTCATTATCTCATCCATAAAATGAGAAAGTTTAATTTGACAGTCTCTAAGGTTCCTTCCACCTCTAAATTCTGTTTCTCTGACACTGGCTTGAGGAAGATACCTTGTCATTATGTGAGTAGGTTTACTGCTAAGTTAAAAGGCACAAACTTATTCAGTCTTATTTTGTCTTAACTGAATACATAAACTTTCTTGGGTTTAATCTTCCTTTTAAGCAAGTGCCTATAAAGCAAATGTCCTTTTCTGTGCACCTTAAGTAGACATACAGGTCTAGCAGGGCTCAAATATCAAGGCCACCAAAGCATCACTGGAGACCGTTTTTGTTGTCAATGCTGCCTTCTCCTCAGCATAAATTCAAGTTTCTCAAGGTCAGAACTTTTTATTTTGTGAATCTCTGCTTAATGGTTAGCCCAGTAAATTAAAGCCAGAGGACATACAAGTATGAATTGAGGATGGTGATTAATTCAGTTCTATAATATATCATCTTCCACTAAAAGAGAAGACATACGGAAGATGATGTTTCATTTGCAGCCATGAAAGGGGCAGAAAAAGATGGGAAAAAAAACCACACATGCAGGGTATCTTGGAATTACTGACTGAGATGGGAAGAAGGAAGGGATAGGGGCAAGGAATATTAACTCCTGTTCTAAGAGTCTTGCCACATCACCTTGCCACACAGTTCTAATTTTTCAAGCCCTGTGTGTCTAAGAGAAGACAGAACATTCTTTAGACCAAAAGAAAGAAAAGTTGGCTGGGTGGGAAGAAATAAAATTATGTCATTCTTGGAAAATTGTCAACAAAGGTTATTATAATGAAAATGGAGAAGTTTAAATAAAACTATGATATGAAGATAAGCCTGGCTTTGTTTCTGAACTCTAGGTAGTTTCTCTCATGAATGCTTTAACTCAGACTTGGGGATAAATGTTCCATTACATCGCACCAAGAAAACTATTCATATAAAAGATTTATGTTTATTGGCTTTAAACTTGATTTTAGACTTTGAAGAACTTATGACTAATTTATAAATTTATCATTAAAGTGGGAAACTTTTCTATCACATTTCAGTGGTCCAACCTGTATTCACTGTCTCCCAGTAGAGGTTTCTGAGCAGCCATGTATCGCCTGATGGAATCCTCCAACTCTGGAACTGGTAATCTGGAATTGTGTGAATTTACGAAAAGTAAATGAAATATGTTTAGGTATGTCTATGAGTTCATAATTGGGGAAAAATTCCTTAGAATTCATGAATTTCACTCCATATTCAGCTATGTATTGCTACACTACCAAGCCTAGTATAACTGTTCAGTAAGGAAACTGATTCTCACATAGTGACATGGAAACACTTTCATTACTTATAGTCAGACTTTCTATTACCTATCAATGCACATAACATTGAGGTTAGAGAAAGAGTTTGAAACCAACTAGTTAGCAAGTATTAAACTATAAATCTTGCCACCTACGGAGATAAAGCATAAGAGTAATCAACAATGAAAAACTACAGTTCAGGGGCAGCTAGGTGGCGCAGTGGACAGATTGCGGCCCTGGATTCAGGAGGACCTGAGTTCAAATGAGACCTCAGACACATAACACTTACTAGCTGTGTGACCCTGGGCAAGTCACTTAACCCCATTGCCTAGCCAAAAAAAAAAGAAAAAAGAAAAACTACAGCTCATACAGAGAGGGAACAATGAAATAGGAAAGCAGTGTTTCATTAGAAAGGTCAGAAATAATGTTGGTAAGAAATAGCTTGATAAAGATGAGAAATTTTTAGCAGTCTTTTTTTGGGGGGGAAAGAAATATGAGAACGATGATCTTTGGCACAAAGTACTGAAAAAATTCATTTAAGACCTTCAAAGGTTGTTTGTAATATCAGTGGATTTGCTATGCTTTGGGCATGTCCTTTTCTATGAATGCTACTCGGCAAAACTCTTTCTCAACTTCTACAAGGATTATGAATAAAAACTATCAAAAACGTTTAAGACCAAGGCCCATATGTCTAAGGCTAATGTTGGCATCTATGGAGATAAAGCATGGGAGTAATCAACAATCAGAAAGTACAAAGTTCATAGCGAGATGGAACAACGAAATGGGAAAGCAGTGTTTCATTAGAAAGACTAGAAAGAATGTTGGTAAGAAATGGTATGATAGAGGTGAAAAGTTTTTTGTGGAGTCGTTTTTTCCCCTGGGGGTGAGGAGAAAGATGAGAATGATGATTCTTAGTATCTGAAATGCTGAAAAAATTCAATTAAGACCTTCCAAAGGTTCTATTTGTAACACTAGTGTATTTGTGATATTTTGTGGGTATGCTCTTCTATGAATGTCATTCAATGGATGTCTTTCCCTGCATTATGAAAAGGAATGATTATGAAAATAAAATGCCAAAATACGTAAGACCACTCTGTGTGTATGGTGCAAATCTTGCCCACAGACACGCAGGCTGCACCGCGCACTCAAAGCCTTTCCGGCTCCGTAAGAATGTACATTGTTGCTCCATTGGTTCTTGCATTGTGCTTATTTTGCCTCTTTTCCATCCCTAAAATCCTCAGGTATGACATCTGCACGCGGTCCAGTTCTGCTCTTGCAAGCCTCTGCTTCGTTTCCTGCCCCGCTTCTAATACTTTAAACTAGGAGGCTCCTCTGCCTTCCTGGCCGCAGACTCGGTCCGTCGGTCCGTCCCGGCCCCTGGTCAGTGGCGGGTCCCACCGCCAAGCCGGGCGGCCCTCGGCGGCAGCCTCACCTGGGCAGGCTCTGCTGGAAGTGCAGGGTGGGGATGATGCTGCGGTGCACGAAGTGATGGTCCAGGTCCCAGGTGGAGGACACGAGCCCGTGATCGGCCGAGCGCCAGTAGTCACGCGCCGCGCCCGCCCCGGCCCCTGCCCTGGCCAGCGACCACGCCCTCCACCCGCCCCCCGGGGGCTGCCGGGGCAGCCAGCAGCGCGCCCCCGGGCCTTTCAACCACAGCATCCTGCGGGGCGGCGGCCGGCGGCTCCCACCTCGGAAGGGGCGGGCCGCAGGCCCCGGGATGGACGCTGGCTCCCAGCAGGCCGCGCCTGGCCACACCGATGCCGGCCGGACGGTTGGATGACCCAAGTCCCTCCTCTCCTCGGTAGGGGGCCTCGCGGGCTCAGCGACGCGTGCTTGGAACGCGCAGGCGCGTTTGAGACGGGCGGGGGCGGGGGCGAGGTGTTGGGAAGGGGAGGGAGGGAGAGAGAGAACGGGGTGGGGGGGCCGGGCGTATGTGTGTCTACGTCTGTACGTCTGGTGCGTATATATGCACGCTCATAGAGCGTAGGTGTGTGGGGCAGTGTGCGCGAGGGCTGCTAGCTGTTTAGGGTCCAGGTGATGGGGGTGCAGAATAAGGGTAATTTATGGAAATAAATGAATGAATGAATGAATGAATGATGAATGAATGAATGAATGAATGAATGAATGAATGAATGTAAATCCTCTTTAGGATCTAAGTAACATTTCAAAAAACTCAGAAAACTTCCATACAGTGACTTATAATGTGGGCAGTTTATGGATAGTGAAATTGTTAAGGGGACAGACAGGATGGTAACATCAGCCTTGTACAGAAAAAGTCAAGGTTAGGAATAAGGCCCTGGGACCCTGTCTATAGGATATTAGGACTTTAATTAGAAATAGAAAATATACCTTTCTTTTGTTAGCCCAGAATCTCAGATTTCTCAATTTCAGTGTAAAACCCCCTTCTCTCTGTCCCATCCTCCACCCCCACCCCCAACTACACCACACAGAAATATCGGAGCTGGGATTCTGTCCTATTTTACCAGCATTGTTTTGGAAAATTCCACAGAAAGTGTGGTAAGGTGGTTAAAAAAAAACACACTAAATTGGAGGTCCCAGGACCTAGGGACCTGTCCTGCCACTGATCACTTGTCTTACCTTGAGAAGTCCATAATAAACACAATAAAAAGTGGAGACCCAGGATCCAGGTTCAAAATCTCAGCCTACATACTGCTTGTGTAACCTCAGTTAAGCCTTCCTCTTTGGGCTTGTTTTTCCCCATCTGTAAAATTAGGGTGTTGGAATACTAAGACAAAATAGCACCTGCCCTCAGTTTACATTTTACTGGAGGAGGAAATATTTGTATATGTGAGTATATGCAAAATAAATGTAAGTTAATTAGGGTTCAAGGGGAAGAAACTAGTAGCTAGAATTTCAGGATCCCTAACAAATTAGAAATCCTTGAAGTACTGAGGACATAGAATTTTTTAGGATTAAAAATACTGAGCTGGGAGGGACTTTAGAGATTATCTAATATAAATAGGTATGTAAGTTTTTTGTTCATCCACATCGATCTGTTTAGACAACTTTCCTGTTTCTTTTCAATAATAGTTTCTCTTTATACCTTCAGATTTTCGTTCTGAATTGTTTTTCAAATCTCTTGAGCTGACTTGTCCTGGACGATCTTAGCCCTACCTATTCTTCTTCTAAACCTTCTAAAATCTGTTCTTCTAAAATCGAGGGTGCATGTCACATAATTTAGGACGTTCTTCTCCTTCACTATAACAAATTCTAGGAGGAAGTGATTACTTCCTCCCAATATTACCATCATTCCCACCCAAGCAACTGTTGATGAGAATTGGGTCCAGAATTTTTGCTAGTAATCAAAGTCAAACTCACTAGTCTGTATTGAAAAATTCTCCACTCTTCCCTTGTTTTGAAAATCAGGAAAACATTTGCCATTCTCCAGACCTATCCTATGGTACTTCTTCCATTTGCCCAGGAGATTTTTCAAATGTCACCAACTCATTGTGCTCAGCAGAATCATCTGACAGCAATTTCTACACCCTGGGGTGTGTTTGTCCAGGCCTGGTGACTGATTCATTAAAGGAGACTAGGTGTTCTCTTACTACCTCCTTACTCATCTTCACTTTCAACTGTTTATTAATTGATTTTATTTTGTCTTTTCCAGTCCAAAAACTAATCTCCTTGGTAGGAAAAAAAACCCAGAAGTAATATGAGTTGAGTAATTCTTTATTTTTATCATCTGCGATCATGTCCCATTGATCCAGAGCAGGTAAGTAGGTAGGCACAGTGGACAGAGTCAGGAACGCCTGAGTTTAGATACCACCCCAGACATTTGCTAGTTTTGTGACCCTGTCCAAGTCACTTAACCTCTCTCAGCCTCAGTTTTATCATCTATGAAATGGAGATAATAACAGTTCCTACCTCTCAGGGTTGTAGCTACCCTCTAACCCCCAATTTTCCTGTCATTTCTACTTTACTAATCAGTTTCTCCTTGTTAATCATGTTTAGTACAACAGTTCATCTTGTGACTTCCTCTACATTTTGGAGAATGAAATTATAGCAAGTCAGATATTTATTAGTTGCTCTGCTTTAGACAGTGAGAATTCCAACAGATGTTTGGATAATTGAATTCCCATGGGATGCCAGTGGGCGTGTGTACACATGTAATACTTTCAGCTCTGTGTGGATTCTGCAGTGTCCACACTATGAGACACTTGGAACAGTGCAGCAGTGTAAGCAGCGTAATTGGCTCAAGTGCTGCCTTCCTTAAATTTATAGAACATTAGTACATTCATAATAGATTCACTGGTCATGGTAAGGAGTTGCCTCCCATTGCCACTTTCAGATTCTTCCTCTGTCACCGTTGCTCATCAATCTCTCTTCCTTCAAGTCTCTCTCCAACCAAATTTATTGCCCAGTCTAGGTGCCACTATCCCTTTTTGTTGTTGTTCCGTTGTTTCAGTCATGTTCAACTCTCTGTGACCTTTCTGGGGGGTTTTGTGGCAAAGATACTAGAGTAGTTTGCCTTTTCCTTCTCCAGCTCACTTTGCAGGTGAGGAAACTGAGGCAAACAGAGTTAAGTGACTTGCCCAGGGTCACACAGCTAGTAAGTGTCTGAGGCAAGACTTGAACTCAGGAAGATGAGTTTAGGCCTGGCACTCTGTCCACTGCACCACCTAGCTGCCCCCACTACAATCATCTTATAGCTCTCCTCCCATTCAGACTTCTTGGAAAACCCATGTATGCTAGGTTGTCTCCACTTCTGCTCCTCTCACTCTCTCCTGCACTCTGTGCAGTCCGGCTTCTGACCTTACCTTCCAACTGGAATTTCTCTCTCCAAAGTTATCAAGAATCTCCTAATTGCCAAATTTAATGGTTTTTGCTCAGTCCTCAACCTCTTTGACCTCTTTGTTGCACTTGACCAGGGGTGGGGAACCTGAAGCCTTGAGATCCTTAAGTTCGGCCTTTTGACTGAATCCGAATTTTACAGAACAAATCCTCAAGGCCACAGATTCCTCACCCATGCCTTTGACAGTGTTGACTACCTTTTCTTGTCTACTCTGCTCTCTGTGCTTCTAGGACACTTCTTTCTCTTGGTTCTCCTCTTACCTGTACAACTGTTCCTTCTTCTTCTCCTCTGCTGCTTTGTCATCCATGTCACGCCTACCAGACTGGCATATCTCAAGGTTCTTGGATCCTCTTCTCTTTTTTTCTCTACACACACCCTGTCTTGGTGACCTCATCAATTCCCACAAGTTCAGTTATCATCTCTTTGCGGATGACTCTTATCTATAGATCAAATATATTATATCCAGTCCTAGACTCTCTCCTAAACTCCAGTCACACATTACCAAGTGGCAGTTTGACATTTCATACTGGATATCCCAGAGGCTCAACATTTCTAAAGCCGAACTCGTTATCTTTCACCTCAAACTTTCCCCTTTGAACTGTCCTATTACTGTCAAAAACATCATTTTTCTAGTCACACAGATTTATAACCTCAGTGTCATCCTCCATTTCTCACCCTCATCCCTCTTCCCCCAGATGTATCTAATCAGGTGCCAAATCTTGTTGTTTTTCTCTATGTAGTACCCTTTTATACCCCCTCTTCCCTCTACCCAAACAGCCACTACTCTTCTTCAGACCCTTATCATCTCTCTCTGGGAGTATCGCCATAGCGTCTCCTTGCCTCAAGCCTCTCCTCACTCCCATCTATCATCTACACAGCTGCCAAAGTGATTTCCTAAAAGCCTAGGTCTGCTCATGCCACCACTCCTACTCAACAGACTCAGTGGTTCCCTATGAATGAATGATTTTACAAAGCATTTGTTAAGCATTGGGCTAAGAAGTGGGGATACAGATACTGGAAGCCAAGACAGTCCCTGACCTCAAGGAGCTCATATTCTCATGGGAGGGACTACAAACCAAAGGGAATGGTGACCAAGGAAGGCTTTCTGGTTTAAAAAGTTATTGGGGTGGTGAGTGCAGGAACAATGGCAGAGTCTTGGTTCAGAGTTCCAGAACTTCGGAGGTGGGGAGAGGGGAGAAAAGAGTGAGGAGGGGGAAAGAGGAAGAAAGGATGAGGAAGGAGAAAGGAGAGGAAAGGATAAGGAGATGGAGGAGAAGGAGGGAATTGAGAGTCTGAATACGAAGTGAAGTGAGTCACAGCTGGGTTTTTCTGAAATAGTGATCAAGGAGAGATAGTTGGAGGAAGCAGGGGGAGGAAGGTAGTTGGAAGGAGAGGAGGGCGGAGGTGAAGAGTGGAAATGGCTCCAGGCTCCAGTCTAGTGGATCAAACATAAACTCCTTTGTTTGACAGTGTATCAAGGTATAATGGGAGCAATTTCCCCCTCATCCCCCCATGTGCTCTGGCCAGAACACACTTTGGACAGTTTGGAGGCACAGTGGGAAGCCTGAAGTCAGGAAGACTCCTCTTCCTGAGTTCAAATCTTTTTTTTTTAAGGCAATTGGGGTTAAGTGACTTGCCCAGGGTCACACAGCTAATAAGTGTCAAGTGTTTGGTCTGAGGCCAGATTTGAACTCAAGTCCTCCTGACTTCAGGGCCAGCACTCTATCCGCTGCGCCACCTGAGTTCAAATCTGGCCTCATACACTGACTAGCTGTCTGACCCTGGACAAGTCACTTAACCCTGTTTGCCTCAGTTTCTTCATCTGCAAAATGAGCTGGAGAAGAAAATGGCAAACTAGTAAGTATCCTTGCCAAGAAAACCCCAAAAGGGGTCATGAAGAAGAGTTAGACATGACTAGAAAATGACTACACAGCAACAGCAGCAACAACAGAGCACCTTTCATTGTATGCATTGAGTTGAGCCAGACAGGAAATAGAGAATACTGGAGACACATATGTTGGAACACAGATGTGATCATTTCTGGGAATTTTTTCTGACAAATTTTTTTTTAGTGGGAACTTCTGGACTCCTTGGCATCCATAGAAGTAATATATCAGCTTGTATGACTTCATTACTACTATTTTATATCGTCGTGCCAGGCTTCTGACCTGTTTCCCAAATTCTGTTTCTTCCTATCTGCAGTACACTACCATGGCACGATTATTTTATTTCTTCCTCACTTGAGCTCTACTATGCTTCCTCCTTTAGTTCCAAAAATTCTTCTTACGAGTAGATTGTCTTAGTAGTTAATACAATTCCTCCCCTTTATTTTTTTCCTTTTTAATAAGAAATCTATCCCATCAGTCTTCTCCTACCAAATATCAGTGATATCTATGTAATCAAATTTGCCCCCTTAGGATCTTAAGTTCATCTTAGTTTCTAATCCATCTTTTGTTCAATGGACTGAGAACATAGGTTTTATTGCTTTCTATGATATCTATCTTGGAATATACATATTATATGGATATAGCGAGAAGGGAATAAGGAGGGAGATATTGGGAGAAAAAAGGAGAGGAAGGAAGTTTTTTTCTTTTCTCCCTTTCCTTCCTCTTGTAGTTGGTGAGATTCTTGGCTAGATTTACAAGACTCCAGGCAAATATATCTCTATTTCATACTTCTTTTTCATCAGCGCTTGTTACGTCCAGAATATTCCTGCCCTAAGCCTGTCATTCCTATATTTTTAACAGTAAATCCTGAAATAAAAAGCTTATTCTCAACCATCATCTTTTTTTAAAAATTATGTTGTTGTTGTTGTTGTTGTTGTTGTTGTTTTTAATGTCACTGTCACTTCTGAGTACCCTTCCCTCCCAACAGAACCTTTCCCTGTAGCAAAGAAGTCCAGGTAAGCTAAACCATCCACCATATTGACCATGTCTTAACAACATAGGACTCATTCCATGACAGTAGGCTGTGAACTCTCTGCTAAGAGAAGTAAAATGTATTTCTATCATCAGATATCATCTTCTTAACCAGCTACTCACTTTCCAGATCCATTTTTCTCTTCCAAGGCATCCGCCTTCAACTATAGCAGTAACGGAAATATCATCAGTGCCCCTTGAGGCTTTTAATTTTTTGCCCAAGATATCATAATTCCTAGTAATGCCTTCCTGGTTTCTTCTGGCAGTATAGTTTGTTCCAAAATCAATCACCAGAAATGAGGATTAGTTATTGTCTTTGACAAATCTTGGGACGTTATTCATCATGGCCTCTATGTGTGCCCCAGGAGGATAGCAGACCTCTTTATTGTGAATTTAAGGTCAATAAATAGCTGCCTTGGGACTTCTCAACAGGAAATCATCAACTACTACTTTTTTTGTCTTCTTACCTTGACCCAGTTGAATGATCTCTTTTCCAGGGCTGCCTGTGTATCCACATGATCCTTCAAGGCATAAGCAGCTTCTTCATCCATAGAGGGTCCTGCTAACAAAAGAACCTCATTATTACTTAGCTCAGAATGTTCAGTGGTCTCTGCCATGGTCCAACCACTTCTAGAGAACTGTCTGGGTCCGAGTTCCTCATTTTATGAAAAACACTGAAAAGTTGGAGTAGGTTCAGATGATAGCAGCTATGGTGATGAGAAAGCAGATCTTGTGAAAATTGGTAAGAAGGAGGAGGAGGAGGAGGATGATGACGACGACGATGATGACAACAACAATTTGGGATGTTTTATTCTGGAGAAAGAAAGGCTGAGGGAGCGACAAGCTGATGTCTGTCTGCAATCTTTTACGTGGTCGTGTTAAAGGGAGATTCAGCTCATTCTCCTTAGCCCCACAGGGCAGAATTAGGACCAATGGGTGGAAGCTACAGGGAAGTCATTGTGGACCCCATATAAAAAGAGTTTCCACAATTTGAAGGAACTGTCTAGTGATTTCCCTGTCACTGTCATTCTTCAAGTGAAATTTGAATGATCTCTTTTTGGAGTTGTTGTATCTTTAGATAGGACTTGGACTTGATAATTTAAGAACTCTTCTAATCTTAAGGTTTTATGATTTTAAAAGGAAGGAAATAGGGGAAATAGGAGACCTGGATTTTTTCTTTTTTATCTTTCTTCAGCTTAACTGCATGACCGTAAAGTGTTAATCAAAAATCTTTTAGGGCAGGTAGGTGGAGCATTGGATAGAGCACCGGGCCTGGAGTCAGGAGGACCTGAGTTCAAATGTGACCTCAGACCAGACACTTGTCACTTACTAGCTGTGTGACCCTGGGCAAGTCACTTAACCCCAGTTGCCTCACCAAAACCCCCAAAAAACTGTTAGCTTTTCCCCATATAAATAAAATGAAAAGCAAATTTATTTGTGGCACTGACTATCTTTGACAAGAAAACCCCAAATGGGTTCAAGAAGAGTGGAATATAACTGAGAAATGACTGGACAATCACAAAAATACTAGAAGGACCAGCTGTCTTTTTAAGTCCTGACTCTAACACTTACTAGATATTTGACCCTAGGAAAGTAACCTACTGTCTTAGAATCTCAATTTCCTCATCTAAAAATTGGGAATAATACTGCTTCAGTTACCTCTCCCACAAAGTGCATAAATTACCTTTCCTATAAGGTAGGCAATTTGTTATAAGGAATGTATATGCTTTAAGATTTTAAAAATATAAGCTATTTTCTGTAAGTTCACATATATACTGTATCCTGACATGTGTATAAAGTATGTACCATATGCATACTGTTTATATAATTTGAATTTTTTGTATTTCACTCAATATAATAAAGTTGTTAGAAAAGAAAAGTAATCATGGATACTATGTTTTTTTTTACTATGCAAACTTAGTTTATTAACATATTACTGTCTTACTCCTAATCATCAACTCACCATTCATCTCTTGACTAAATACAAAGTTAACTCTAAAGAGAAATTTCTCCCAATCTTCTAATGAAACCATTGTTTCTCTGATCTCTTCATCTATAAAAATCATACTTACTATTATTTGCCTGCATCTTACCTACTGATTCTCTCCAACTATCAATCTTTCGGTGCCTTCTAAAGTGAATTCCACTACCTACTATACAAGCCATATACAAGAACAGATATATGGAATCTGGTTGATTCCTTCATTATGTATTAAGCTAAAAAGGGATAGGAATAAACCTAATCCCTAGATTTGAGAAACTTCTGGGTTAACCAGAGACATGTCTATGCGTAGAATGAAATTTAATACTTTGAGAGACGAGAAAAATATATAGGCCAAAAAGAGAAAAAAAACCCAACTAAACTACTCAGGGCTATTTGCTCAATCACATCTGCTCTTCTCTGATGTGAAAATCATTTTCATAAGTTCATTGAAGACTCTGAATAAGGCTTCGTCTTTACAGTTTTGGAGTAGGACTTCTCAGCTTCCTGGATCTTCTTTGTTAAACAGAAAACTGGCTTGCCTTTGTTCCTTTATGAACCTTAAATGTTACACAAATATGTTATTATTGTCACTACCTTTGTATTTATATTGTCTGTTTCTCTTAGGACAAATTTTAAGAAATTGGATTCCTTTGACCTCTACTAAAATCTTCTTAAACATCTAAGGAACAAAACATACCTCAGTGCCCCCTTTACCAAAGTGAAGGGTTCAGGATCATCCCTAAGGACTAATCATATTTTGTAATCACCGCCTTACATCCCCCAATTTTTATTACAGATCTGTAAACGGAAAATCATACCAAGAAGTCAGTGGCAGCCTTAGAGAGGAAAAGTCGCAAAAAGGAAGCCAGAGGGATATGTGCAGGGGGGGAAAGGGCAGTTCAAACCCTCTGCCTTGATGAGAGAGGATGATTTATAAAAAAATAAAATAAAAGTAAAACACTGCATCTAGAGTCAGATGATTAGGGCACCAATATTGACTCTACTTCTATCTACTATGATAGTGGGAAAATCATTTAACTTCTTTAGGGCCCACTTTTCTCTTTTGTAAAATTATAAAGTTTAATTAGAGCAGGTGTTCTGAATGTAGACTCCATATATACATATATACATATATATATATATATTTTTTTTTTCAGGAGGTCATTGAGCTTGGATGGAAAAAGTATATCTTTACTTTTACTTTAAAATTTAGCATTTTCTTCAATTATAAATTTTTTTTAAAAGTCATTATTCTAAGAAAAAGGTCCATAGGCCTTGCCAGACTTGCCAGATGTCCATGACACATAAAATGTTAAAGAACCCCTGGACTAGATTATGCCCAAGAGTCTTTTAAGTACTAAATCTTATGTTGAGAAGAGGGGTGGCAATTACGGGCAGACTAAGGTATTTTTAACATCAGCTAGACATACCCCCTTGGCTATGTGGCCTCCAATTTAGAGCACTCTCTAAACTCTAAAGCACAGGGCCTAGGGTGACTTCACTATACCTTAGGAGTAGCTCAAGATCACTTTTTTGCTTTATTTATTTTTAACATTCTTTTTTTTTTAATTTGTGTACCAAATTCTCTCCCTCCCTCTTGCTCCTCCCTCAGCCACTGAGAAGGCAAGAAAAATAATATTAATTGTACGTGTGAAATCATGCAAAACATTTCCATATTAGTCCTCCCCCAAAAAACAACAAAACAAAGAAAGCTAGAAAGTTATACTTCAGTTTGCATTCAGAGTTCTTCAGTTCTCTCTCTGGAGGTGGATGGAATTTATTCATTGGTAAGTCCTTTGAAATTGTCTTGGATCACTGTGTTGATCAGAGTAGCCAAGTCTTTCACAGTTGATCATCATTACAACATTGCTATGACTATGCACAATGACCTCTTCTTGCTTCACTTTGCATCATTTCACATAGGTCTTCCCACATTTTTTCTGAACCTATTCCCCTTGTCATTTCATGTAGCACAGTAGGATTCCATCACAATCATATGCCACAGCTTGTTCAGCCATTCCCCAATTGATGAGCATCCCCTCAATTTCCAATTCTTTATCGCAACAAAAGAGCTGCATAAATATTTTTGTACATATTGGTCATTTTCCTTTGATCTCTTTGGGATACAGACATAGTAGTGGTATTGCTGGGTCCAAAGGTATGCACAATTTTATAGCCCTTTGGGCATAGTTCCAGATTATTCTCCAGAATGTTTGCTACTCTACCAGCAGTTAATTAGTGTACCTGTTTTTCCCTCATCCCCTCCAACATTTGTCCTTTCTGATGGGTATGAAGTGGGACTTCAGAGTTGTTTTAATCTGCTTTTTTCTAATCAGTAGTGATATAGAACACTTTTTCACATGACTATAGATAGCTTTGATTTCTTCTTCTGAAAAATTACCTGTTTATATCCTTTGACCATTTATCAGTTGGGGAATGGCTCTTATTTTTATAAATTTAAACCACTTCCCTAAACATTTGAGAAATGAGGCCTTTGTTAGAGAAACTTGCTGTAAAATTTTTTGTTATTACTTCATTGTCTATGGTACTTTTTAGCAAAATGTCGTTTCCCTGATTATCTCTTTTAATTAGGTCTACTTTTGCTTTTGCTTTATCTGAGATCATGATTACTATCTCTGCCTTTTTTACTTCAGCTGAAGCCTAATAAATTCTGCTCCAGCCCTTTATTTTATGTTTATGTCTTTCCATTGCAAGTATGCCTCTTATAGACAATAGATTGTTGGATTTTGGCGTCTGCTGCATTTTACTATCTGCTTCCATTTTATGGACAAGCTCATCCTATTCACATTTACAGTTATGATAACTGAATGTGAATTTCCCTCCATCCTATTTTCTTGTGTTTACTCTTCTCTCTCTCTTTTTATCCTATCTCTCCTCAAAAGTCTGTTTTGCTTCTGACCACTGCCTCCCTTAATTCGCTTTCCCTTTTCATCTCCCATCTCATATTTCCCCTCCTCCTCTTGTTTCCCTATTGAGTCAGTAGATTTATATACCCAATTGAGTGTGATGTTCTTCCTTCTTTGAACCAGTTCTGATGAGAGTGAGGTTCAAGCATTGCCCCACCTTTTTCCTTTCTTCTGTAAGAGCTTTACCTTATGCATCTTTTATGTGAGATAATTTCCCCCATTCTGCCTCTCCCTTCCCCCTTCTCTCACTGCATCCTTCTTTCTCACTCTCTTTTTTTCCTTTTTTTGATTTGGAGATCCTCCCAACATAATTGATTTATACTCTCTGTGGTGTAAAACCCTAATAAATGATAAAGTTCTTAGGAGTTACAAGTATCACCTTCCCATATAGGAATGTAAACAGTTTAAACATTTTAGGTCTCTTATAATTTTTCTTTCAAATTTACCTTTTTTTTTTTTCTTCTCTTAAGTCTTGTGTTTGAATGTCAGATTTTCTATTCAACTCTGGTCTTTTCATCAGGAATGCTTGAAAGTTCTCCATTTCATTAAACATTCATTTTTTCTTTTGAAGGGTTATACTCAGTTTTGTGGGTAGATGATTCTTGGTTGTAATTCTAGCTTTCCAGAATATCACATTCTAAGTCTTCAATTTCTTTAATGTGGGAGTGACTAAATCTTGTGTGCTCATGACTTCGTGTATGATCATTGTGGCTCCATGATATTTGAACTGTTTTTTTTTTCTGGCTATTTGTAATATCTTCTCCTTCACCTGGGAGCTCTGGAATTTGGCTGTAATATTCCTGAGAGTTTTCATTTTGGGATCTCTTTCAGGAGGTGATTGGTGGATTCAACGATTTCTTTCTACCCTCTGGATCTAAGATATTGGGACAGTTTTCCTTATTATAATTTCTTGAAATTTGTTGTGTTGGCCCTTTTTTTTTGATTGTGGCTTTCAGGTAGCCAATATTTCTTGAATTATCTCTCCTCAATCTATTTTCCAGGATAGTTGTTTTTCCTGTGAGATATTCCACATTTTCTTCTATTTTTTTTTCATTCTTTTGACTTAGCTTTATTGTTTCTTGATGTCTTGTGCAGTCCTTAGCTTCCAGTTGCCCAATTCTAATTTTTTTCTTTTTTTTTTTTTGGTGAGGCAATAGGGGTTAAGTGACTTGCCCAGGGTCACACAGCTAGTAAGTGTTAAGTGTCTGAGGCTGGATTTGAACTCAGGTCCTCCTGACTCCAAGGCCAGAGCTCTATTCACTGCGCCACCTAGCTGCCCCTTCCCAATTCTAATTTTTAAGGAATTATTTTCCTCAGTGAGCTTTTGTACCTTTTTTTTTCCTGTATTTGGC